ATCGATTAATAATTCTTGTATAAGTCAAAATTTAAAATATGATAAACGATTAACATCACTGTACCTACTATGTAACGTATGCTGGTACATATATATAATATACTGTTTAACCTGTAAATTCAAACGCTCTTTTTGTAAATTATAAATTTATAACTAATATTAAAATACATAGTATATTTGAAATCTAAATTTTGGGGCTTTAGCCCACATACTTTCTGAGTATTAAATTCTGGTCATAGATATGTAGCATTAATAATTTGTGTTGGAAAATATTACAGCGATAATTTTAACGAATATCTACTTTTCTTATTTATAGGGGAGAACAAAATTAAATTGAACTTTGACACTAAATTTCTGAATATGCGTCTTTATATTATAAAGTATTAATGGTATGTGTCTATGCCTTGTATTGTTGTAATTTTTTGCGTCGCTTATAATTATACGCTGCCGACGCAAGAATCATAATATATGAAATATATTTTGGTTGTCAGCGTGCGTGACTCGAATTCTGTCACACTAGATACACCGCACGAAACGGCCAAAATTAATAATTAAGACGTATATTCACGCTCGTACAATTGGTGTTCATATATATTTTATTTATCTATATGATATGTACCTAAATGTTCCATAATACACATAACTGCAGAATATGTATAGGTATAATAACACGCGTTACCGACTGCCATGTATTTATATACGATATAATTAGGTACCTATTTATACGTATCCTCAAACCTGATCCTCGTTTGAATACATTTTGATATAACACGAACCGCAAACGCGTTTACCTTGAACAAAATTTTTGATAATATTATATATCATTAATGTTTATTAGTTTATAATAAATAGTATTTAGGTATACGTGTCGCAGTTGATGTATGTATAGTGTATTATGTATTTACATCGATTACATCTCAATACCTGAGGATATATTCTGTAAGAATATGCGTTTATGTTATACTTAGCATATTTTTAGCTTTAGATTTGTGTAAATCGTACAATATACACTTATATTCCCATCAATTCACCAATACTCATCGTATTTGTCCATATAGTTAATAGGTATATGTGTATATAATATATATACGTTCACAGCTCACAATTACTTTACAATAATGGTCAAAAATATCAACTTCAAAATTCAATTACGTAGTGTACCTATACTATTGATCATATATTCTGTATAAATGTATAAATAATGTATACAGTAAAAAAGAAGTAGAGTTCTTATTTAAAAAATAAGCGTTCGTATGACAGGGCACTCGTTAAGTGATTCAAAAATTCTCAAGAATTTTAAAATGTGATATTTAAACATTCCAAAATTTAGAATTTGAATAAATTTATTCACTTGTCTTACGCGTATATTATTTATTAATAAATAAAAAATATTAATTTAGAACTAAAGTGGTCTAAAAGATTCATACATTTATCTATCCATGATGAAGAGTTTGTTATTGAGATGAAGACCGTTAACAAAGACGTTCATAAAACATCTAAACAACCGAACTATAATCGAATAATACTAAACGCAATAATAGCTATATACCTAAATTTAAAATACATGTCTAAAATGTATCCACTTATAATCATTTTTCTATTTTATGTAATCTGCAATGACAACCCTATATTTAAACAAAACATTATTTTTTTCGTGAATCAACAAATCCCTGTGTGAACCCCTCTTTGAATTGAAAGTTCAGTAAAATCCTTTATTTTAGTGTGCACTTATATATAATATAGTATATCATGAAACAAAATACTGTAAAAATTCCAAGTATCTACCAATTATAATTTAAGCGCAACGTTAATTTTCTATTTGAAGTAAAAAAAAAAAAACACCTATATATTGATAGATAATTTATAACAATCATGATAATTGTAATAATATAATAATGTGAGAGAAAATATTCTATATTCTGGTGTGCCTTTAAGGATGTACGTGATATTTGCATTAGTAAGTAAATATAAATAAAAAGAATCGCTTCCTATACATATATTATTATTAGAGATTGTGAGTATTAATATTTTTGTGTACCTAAGTACTAAGTAGTCGACATAATATAATGTATACTGACTAGCGGATTGTACACAAATTAAATTGTAAAGTTAAATGTCCGTTTCCTGATTGCCAAATTCCACACAATGTTACTATGCGATTTATACTATATGTATTATATAACACAGCAACTAGGAAGCTGTGTTTATGTAACTATATAAAATCTTACATGTATATTGTATATTGTACGTACATATATATATACAGTAGCGTATTCAGGCCGATCATCAAAATGCAGGCCCCGGGGCCCCTAAAGTATTTTAATTTGGTAGGGGGAAGCACAGGGCCTTAATGCCTTATCATTTAAAAAAAATACTTAACATTTTTATTTTATTAAGCTAATGTTTAAATATATTGTATATATATTTTTAGTAATAGGTACAATTATTTCAATCTTACATTTTTGATTATTCAAATTTCTAATATTCATGAAAAATTCTAAATAACAACTTTAAATAGTGTAAATGATGAAACTAAATGTTTAATAAGCCCAAATTTATCAGAAGCGATACAACCAATGACCTTAGAAGATTTTCAAAACAATAAAGCTTTTTTTTTTAAATACATTGAATACATTGGATAACATTTTTATTATTCTTAAGAAGGGGCCGTGCCAATCAATAGTTTACTAAACAAATGATTGGTAACAAATATCGTTCATTTTCTACAACACATTATAAAGAGGGCCTCTGTCTTTTTTTCCCCTCAGGCTACCTATAGTTAGTAACCTAACGCCACTACATGTAAGTATAAACAAGTGCACTTTTTCAATATTTTTCTTAAATATACAATATATAATTACATTTGATAAATATAATAAAATATATACCATTATACCTGAATGTATCCTATATACATTTTTTATATATAATAATATTATATGATCGTTATTGTTGGTTAAACTATTATTTTCAAATGTGATTAAGTCGTATTTATTATTTATCACGAAATAAAATAGATGTGAAATTACCTCATTACTATATTTATTTATAAATAATAAAATATTACATCCATTATGTTAGTTAATAGTAAATATAAATTATTACACAGTTTACAAAATAACATTTATAATTTATATAGAATCATCAAATTTAGTATATTTTTATATTTTATTTTAATTAAATTATTATTGTATACAATTTTTATAACTTAAATGTTAATATATTTAGTTTAAAATTAAGTCTTGATGTTAACGATTGGCAACTCTTGGGATTTTAGAAATTTAAATTTAAATTATAAAAAGTAGTGTAGAGATATGTTAACATAAATAAAAAAAATTATTTATATATATATGTAGAAATTAATGTATAACCTCACTTAAAAATGTCATCACTGGGTGGCTGCTTTTATCAAGATTTTCATTTATTATATTTATTTTAGCCAATATTCTTATTGTACCCTTAAGGTACATATTGTGTATATAACAATAAAGGAAAAAAAATATAAAATAGGTAATATTATGATTACAATCTGGTTTTCTATAAAGTGTAGATACATAGTATAACATTAGGTACCTATATCATTAAAACACGTTATTTTATGAGTTAGGTAGGTACTACTTACTACTTACTATATTATTATCATAACTCAAAAGTAACTTCATTAGAAATTAATTATTTTGTATAATAGTAATTAATACCATATATGTAATATATTACATATAACATATAGGTATAAGAAAAAACAATGTCACTAGAGCAACTATACAGTAATTTAAACTTTTATGTTATTATGTATAGTTATTAGTGCTATTATCTACTTAATACAAATGCTAATAGTGAAGGCCAGCAGTGAGTATTATAATATATAAGTTCCATTTAAACGAATATGGAATATTATAGAATAAGCTATACTTTATAATTTTATTAATATATAATCCTATATAAATCTAAAATATATTATACATATAAGCCGATTACTAGGGTCATAAGTATTTACACATAAAAAAATGAATATTAAATAAAATATAATGTTAAAAATGCGTTAAAAACATTCTATTCTATACTAGAATATAAATGCATCTATTTAGGCCACCACAAAGAACCCTTTTGTCATATATTCATCTTTTTCTTTTATCTACATCGCATCTTAACTTATAAATTGTTCTATATGGTAATATTATTACAACGTATATGGACTTGTTTAGTTATAACCTCCTAAGTATAATTAAATATTGCAACGAAATTGTTTTCTTGTAACTTAATAATTTTAAATTATTATTTTGTTTTTATATTAATAAATGAGTGTTTATTATATATTTACATCAAAGGTGTCTTAACTTAAATTTATATGAAATACTTGGTGACATTATATACCACCAAGAATTGAAGATTATTATACATAACAATAATAATTTTTGTTTTTGTTATTAAGTTTTTTAAGCTCTAAATATTCAAAATGTATTTAATGAGTTAATTTATACCCAGTGAAGCGTCGATTATCCGCACTACGAAAATATATTTTTATTTTATATTTTTTAATTATGTATAATATACATACTTTTAACAATACGTACATATATAATTTTATTACGTAATACTTAGTTATACTCGTAAATACAGTACATAAGTATAATTTTGATTTATATAAAACATTAAAAATTAGTTATCATTAAATGTTTTTAGTTAATGTTTAATTGTCTGTACCCTGTTGGCCCCTGCAATTAGTGCAAATAATTCGACACTCTACTGTATTTATATTTTATACTGAGTTTCTTCGATGATTATATCATTGATTATTATTTCAATTTGTTTATAGAAGATGATCGTATACTCATGTGTATATTATAAGAACATAATATTTTTAGTCCACATCATATTATAGAAGTTATAAACGGAAATATAAATGTGGTAAAATGGTTTTAAACGAATTATTATACAACTATTTTGTCACTTGATAAATGTCAATGATCAAAAATACATTATTATATTTGTTAGTATTACTATCTTCTATCTCTAACTGGCATCTTATATACAGTAAATTCAACCTGAAATAGTGAAATATATATATTATATATGTGTATGTGTGTTTTAAGGACTGTTTGTATAGAATATATGAATAAAATATAACATATATTATGTAGAATAAATGCACATAAAATCAATATTTTTGTTTTTTAAACATAATAAATTATTATTTTTAAATAAAATCTTATACGTATACGTGAGCATAGGTCATTTTCTATTATCATGAGTTATTAGAATTTTAAGTACAATTTTTTTTATATAACCCATAATGGTAACTATATAGAGCTAAGATTTCATAATAAACACTAAATTTTACTTTTTTCTTTTATAATAATGGATGCTTGTTTTTGGTATTTATTTGTTTCATGTCATACTAAATATATAAATTTTATTTAAAAATTTTCACATTTTTAAGATTTTTCATTTTATTAATTTTTAATGGCATTTCTTCATTTTAAATATTTTAGGACATATCATATACATCAATTTAAATTTACAAATGTTATTTTAAGATTTTTATGGAGTTTAAATATTTTATTTATAGGTTTTACTATAATTCGCAAACAATTCAAAATTAATAAGTATTTATCTTGCATTTTGAAATATCATACATAATACAACTTATAAAAATACAAATATAATTTTTACTAATCATAGCAAGCCGACAAACCGTTTTTCAAATTATACTCGAAGATTATTTTACAAAAGTTAAACATTTATTATTTATAAATTATTAATAAAAATAGATATTAAGGAACTACAAAGTAAACCATACACAAGATATTTTGAGTTTATAATATTCACGTATATAATATAATGAATTGAATAACGTATCAGGAAGCTTAAGAAGTAAAGTCTTGAAAATGAATAGATATAGCAGAAATGTATCGTCAAACTGATCATGACAAAATGTCCCGGCGAGCGATTATTATAGACCTGCATGGGTGCAGGGCTATATATACGTATATATATATATATTATGACTGTATAAGCCATACACAATCCTCCGTCTTCCAAGGTTGTCCCATATAATCCTTTAAGGGAAAAGTAATATCTCATTTTACTATTTTTCTATGGTTTTATATAATCTAAAATCAACTGTAAAATAAATATAAGTAAATATATTATATACTTCAGGATCGAATATCCCCATTGATCGATCGTCAGATTCTTTTCCCAACGGACACATTACCGATTTTATACAAGTTTCGTGACACGTCAAAAAACAATCTGTACATATAAACAGAATATAATAGTGTCATTAAAAATGAATGCATCTGATTTAGATTTATAAGCAGATTTACTTTGACATTTTACAGTTTTCGTAAACGGCCATCTCAAGCAATTTCTACAAATTCTGCATTTTTTGTATATATTTTTTAGCTGGTTCAAAGCCTTTGTATCGTGGCCGTAATAACACATTTCTTCAGCATTATTCCCCGATTTTAAACTAAAAATACCATAGTTATCATTTTACTGACTATGTAGTCAAAAAGAATGTATGCCAATATAGAATAATATGATACATATATTATTTGTCGCAGCAATATTTTATGATACATCAATATACAAGTATACCCGTGCGTTTGAAATATGCTTTAGAGGACTTTGTGTTCAAAAACATATTTATGTATATCCATCTATTACTAAACTATATAAGGTGTATTTTTAAACATTTTACTCTTACAGGCGGTTCAGAAAACGATCGATTTGATTTTTGAATGACATTATATACCTAATATATTATATATTATGCAATAAATGTCCTGTAGCAGCAAATATATCGAAACTATATAATATATATACACAATTATATTAAATTTGTAAAAGTATTTATATTTTAAAGAAAAGTTCAAACTAAAAATTATTTACATCAATAATAATTATCGAAATAAAAATTACCTAACAATTCATATAACACAGCTGTAGTGAATACTGAATAGTACCTATATATACATTTACTATTTAGCCACGATATTATTATTATATTATTTAAAAACAACAATGTGCATTTTAATTTATTTTTCATAATATAATTCTTATATAATATTCATTGTTTGTGCGTGTATGATGTTCTTTTAATGATACACACAAACATCAATGAGTTAGAAATTATAATTAAAGTAACACTTAAAATTTAAAACTTATCAGTTATCACAAAAAAACTAAAACAATGTTTTATATATAAAATATACATATTATTATGTAAAAAGTGTATACAACGTTGATAGCATATTTGCATATATATATATAATACAGACAATACAGTGAAACCTCCCTTAACGGACACCTCCAAGGCTCCAAATAATAAACATTTTTATGGGTACAGGGACATTTTTACTACTTTCATGTAGGAAAACCCCTTAATACCGGTCACTCTAAATAACAGATACTATTATGGTAATTTAATTTTGATTTTGACAGTTTTATTTTTATCGTTAATATAGAATAATCGTAAAATGCCAATTTAATCTAATCTTACTACTATGTATTATAAATTATTAAACAATTATAGTTTGTCTTATCCGTCCATTATCGCGTCAATGAAATCATTTTTCAAGATTATGTTCTGTGAAGTTATCCTACTCGTATTTAGTTGTGTTTATGATTTCATCGTATTTGAACATGTTAAGTTGGGTTGCTATATGCACCAAGGTTTTAACCAAGCTAAAGTAACTAATTTTTTCATACACAATACATAATATGTAGAATTAATATTTGCATTAAAATAATACAAATTTATAATGTATTTAAATATCATTATTATAAATATTATATGTATACATATAAATAATAAATTTTGTACATGTGTAACTATTAATTTCTCCGAGTTATTTTCAAGAATTTACCCTCCCCCCTTCTGAATAGCAGACACCTCTAAATAACGGACAAAATTACGGCGACCAAAAGTGTCCGGTAATTAGAGATTTCACTATACATATTATGTATTCAAAAATCTCAAAACGTATAACTATTAATATTCGGAATGATGAACATTAAAGCTCAAAAAGTTAAAATTTGAAAATCAAAGAATTCCTTTTATACATAATATTATATGGTTATAAAATTACCTCAATATCATATTGTTTCTGGCATGTATAATAAGTATTTAATATTAACTTATCTAATTACGCAAGTTTAAAGTTATACTATATAGATTAATAGGTATAATATATCTAATCTTTACACTTCACTTAAATTACTTTTAGTTATAAAAGGTAATAAATCTTCGTTTTTCAGCAGTAATATAAATAATTTTTTCCTTTTGGCATTGGAAATATATACCTAATATTGTGCAATTGAATTATCATTATACTCGTACCCACTTGATATAAATATTAAATTTATTTAAATTATTATTGTATATTTTTTTTCAACTTTTTAAAAAATATGTATACTAGCTCCTATAATTATGTTTATTGCATTTAATTTTTGTTTATTTTATACTCGCGTAGTAAACTAATTAATAATATTATTAAGTATAACGATCAAGTAGGTACAATAGTTTACAGCAATTAGTAAGCTATTCTAAACGCTAAATATCTATTGATAAATATATATGTTATGTACTTATGTGTTGTCTATTATTAGTAAACCTTTACGAAAACTATATATATTATTTACTACTATAGACTATAGTACAGGATAGGTAGGTAGGTACTATATGTAAAATATTTAAGTATATAATATAACCATTAACCTCCTTATACTAATCCTCTCATATTTATCCTTATAAATATAAGTTTAAAAATATGTATATTTCGAAGTCAATTAATCTATAATAGTAATGACTAATAATTGCAAATAGACAAATCATATATTTACAACTATATATGAAAATATTTCATATATTTGTATCATATTTTAAAATTGGAATTTATTTTCGTTTTATTTGTTATGTATACCTATATATTACGGGCAAAATGAAAAATTTGTCATGTTATTTTATAAAATAGTCAGAGTATACAAGCAATTTATATGATTATAAGGTATAAATATTTAAACTACAACATAAATTTTATAAAAGTTAGTGAATTAAGTTAGATTTTATTTGTTATTCGCTTATATTATTACACAGTATTATTTGCTAATTTGATTACACACGTATTTTAAATATATTCACTAAACATAAAAAAGTTCTTTTCAAATTTATTTATTTTATTAAATCGAAAAATGTAATTGTAAAATATATTTAATAGAATTAAAATATGATGAATAAATTTCCCTCATTATACAAATGAATAATGATTCAAAAAAAAAAAAATTAAACTAAATGATTAAAAAATAAACTATATTAACAAAATATGACTTAATTACAATTATTTCTGAAATTGAAAAATTGATCGTCACATTAACCGAATGGTCCGAATGTTCCAGTTCATGGAAGTATTGCATGCAATAATAAATAAATTATAATAACCTAATACAATTTATTTTTATTCAAATTTGTAATAATAATATTAGTATATTTTAAATATACAAATAATGTATTATGAAATGTACCTATAGTTTATTATGGTTTAGACCAGCGGTTCTCGACTTTTTTTTTGTTCCGTACCCCTAAGTTTAATATTTTGCTAAATTGTACCCCTCATTATAATTTTTAAACTTTTTTACATAACTACTTTTAAAATATTTAAATAAAAAATAACAAAAATTTCTATGTTACATTCTATATACTCCATATCTATTAGATAAGTTGACGGTTAAGTTTTAATTTTCGAAACGAATTGTTTTAAATAAATAAATTCAACATTTTCCACCATTAGCCATTTTTTTTTCACGTACCCCTTGAGAGGATGTCGCGTACCCTATAGGTTGAGAACCGCTGGTCTAAACTCTAGACAATTATATATCTCATTATTTTAACTGCCTTATACACATCTTAGGGATTCTATAAAATGGTCGGGTATTGTGTAAAATGCCAAAATTTTCTACTCCGTCCATAAAATTTACATTACTCATATTGACATGTTATATCATATTTTATATCCGGTGGACGAGCGTTATAGTTGTACACACAATTTATTGATATATGTATACCTATTTACAATAAGCTAATCAAAAGTATACTCGTCCAATATTTTTTATTGGTTCAAGTCTTAGTCGTAATATATATTATGACGCAAACATCACAGACCACGCTGGTTGTGCAGCATTACCTCTATATTATATTATTATTAATATTATTGTATACCTATGTATACAATATATATGCGTATGCACGTCAAACGGAGATTCTACTTAGTGTTCGAGTTGTGTTGATAATAATGACCTTAGAGTTTATAATAATGTTATCAACATCTAGATGAACTGATGTCGCATGTATAATGCATGACCGCTTTTGTGAGGTTCAAGTACTGCTACTAAACACGGTGCGCAATGCTTGCTCGCGCGCTTGTGTGTGTGTGTTTGTATGTGTCGTTCCGCGCGTTTATGAATAATTAATGCATATTATATACACGTATACATTATACACAGAGTGACACGGTGTAAACACGAGGTGATATTTATATTTTTTTTTCAAAAAATCGACAATGTGTTTTACAAGGTGGCCCATTAGCATAAAAAAAAAATAATAATAAGTATAGTGCACTCGTATTATTATTTCGATAGAAGTCGCTGAACTTTATGGTGTGCACGCATTTGTTTGCATTGCTGGCAACCGTTTACAGACTGTACGTGCCGCCTATGCCCAAACTCAATAATAATAAAATATTATATATATATATATATATATATATATGTATTATATTCTCGTACATCATAATAATATGGCATACCTACTCATTATTATGAATATAATATAGTACAACGATACCGCCACTACACAGTACACACATTATTATACACAATATTAATGTGTATAATTATGTAAGACTATACGTACTTATTTATATACTGTATCATATGCAGCAGGTTGAGTTTTTAATTTTCTTCGAATTTTTTTTTTTAGCCTAGATACATTATTGGTTTGCTTAAACATATTAATATCATAATAATGTGATTCAATTTAGTATAGCTTGCTTGAAAAGAAATCAATAAAACTTACAGTCGCATTTAAATTTACTATGACATAATAGGTAGGTATACCGCTACCGCTGTAATAGGTAATTATTACTTTTTTATCTCTTAAAATACATTTGTGTTATCTTTTACTTCAGCTAATAGTTATTTGTTTTTAAATTGTATACATTAGTATTGCACTACATACCTGCTTGTATGACGTAATGTCCATAATAGTTAATAAGTTATACACTTATATATATCGTAGTATAGACACATCTATAATAATACGTAGAATAAAATAATATTATATATGGCTATACCGTATACCTACTTATATCAATATAATATACTTATGTGACTAGTTTATGATGTGGCCATACCAAATAGAGCTTAAAACTATTTGTATACGTTTTTAAATTGGATACAATTAGCAGTGTATTGTGTGTGCGTATATATATGTAGGTGTGTAAATACTAAACCATTTTTAATAATATACTAAATTAATGCTGTATACCTACCTATTTGTATATGCCTACTATTAATTATTATTTTATTGTTTTATTTTGTAGGACTTTTAATTTTTATATAATATTTAAAAACAAAATGTATTATTATACCGCCATATTGCAGGTTGTATGTATAGACTATAGATACAAAATTATGTAAGTACAATAAATATTTTCTTAATTATATTATTTAAATTAATTAGGTAAAAATGT